TGGCTATGGCAGGCCTATTTGGACCTTACCTAAACGTTGGGATATGGGGACTGTTTAAACACTAAGCTGAAGGAACTCTCTGGAATTTTTTTATGGTGTGTGGGTAGCTGATGGGAACTGTGCCATATGGACTTTGTTGTGACTGGTGCCTAGCCCTAGCGGAACCACTTGAAAGAGTAATTCTTGAACCTTCCCTAAAAGGCCAGAGACCTATGTGGAACTGGGAATATGGACAAATGTGACCAAATATCAGAAGGGTTGCACTGGTTTCTCAAGTTAAGAAGCAGAATAGACAATAATACTCTCTCTCTCTCTGACTTTCAGTGAGGGATGAATGAGAGGTCCATGTGCAGTGGACCTCAGTAAGGTCTCAGAGTCCTCTTCCATTCTGAAAAAAAAAAATGGCCGTTGCTTGAATTTTGCAGCTAGAACACCTAGACTAGGCTACAGCCATGTCTGGACACCTCTGCGGCTCTGATGGGGGACCAGACCTGCTGGTTCTGGCCCCTATTAGTGTTCCAACAGGGCAGTGCAAGATTTGGCTGCCTTCGGGCCCCATAGCAGAATATTGGGTTGTCCCTAAGCTCTCCTTGCACCCTTGCTCACAAGGCCTGCAGTTTTCTGATTGCCACCTTGAAAAGTACTAGATCAGATAAATGAGTTTACAATAGTTCCTTATTGGTTTTTACTGATCATTGTTTCATTTGGGAGTTTTTAAAATCTTGGCTCTGGATTTGTCAAAGGTATTGGATTTGATTAGAACTCCGTGTGTCGCCATCTTAACCAGAAGTTTTCTGACTACTTTCTCTACAGTGACAATGAAATAGATATCATGACCTTACATTGAGACTGAAGAAATAATAATAAGAAGAATGACAGCTAGTATTTATATAGTACTTTAAGGCCTGCAAAGTGTTTATCATCTCAATTTATCTTCACAACAATCGTGGTAAATGATATGATTTTAGACTCAAAGGCGACTGAAATGAACTTAGCACGTTGCCTGGTACACGTCGTACTGAAATGCTCGTTGACTGACGGAGAAGGGAAAGGTGATTTCATGTTAGTCCTCACAACCAAACAAGTCTGAGCAAGATACTGGTGACAGACCCTCCCTCAGCATCAGCTGACTTGTAATTTATTGTTCAGCCTCTGTGGTATGGAATTTTTTACAATCCCAATCTGCTGGACCTCTCAAAGATGGAAATTAATTTTCCCTTCCCTTCATGTTCTAGCAGGCTTTGCTCTGCGGATCTCAATCACCATTAGCTCTATCCCTCTGGACATGATTTAACAACGTCATTGGAGAATGTTTGCAATGAAAGAACACCAACTCCATTGAAAAAGAAAATAAAGCTAGGAAATACTTAGTTTTTATTTCACAACAAAGTCCCTTGATGTTTTTTCTTCAAGAAAACCAATTCCTTTTAACACTACATTAAATGTTTATTTAATCTTTAAGAAACATAATGCTATAGGAGCAGTCTTCTTGGAAATAGCAGTTGAAGGAAAAGCTTAGTGCTTCGACCACCATGTTTTCTTTGCTCCTGAGGTTAGGGTGACTGGAAATAGTTCAAATACCACCTGTCTGAGCTGCGGACATGTTCCCAAATGACTAGCAACACCTTGCAAAGAACAATGGACTTGGCAGCTGAAACACAACAGAGAATGGGGGTCTTTGGCTATATCTTCCTATTCAATCCACTCCAGTGAGTTCCCATTACTTCCAGGATTAAAATATAAAAACCTGTTTGTCTTTTATAAGCTGGTCTTTATAACCTTCATGGCCCTTCAGAACACGGTCCCTTTGTTTCTGATCTTCTTACACCCTCCTCATCTCCATCTGCTTTTCCATCCAGTGACACGAGACCCTCCATCTCCAGACTCCATACATTTCCATGGGCTGCCTCCCCATCATGCCTGGAACTCTCTTCCTCCTCATCTGTGTCTCCAGGCTTCCTTGCCTTCCTTCACTCTCAGCTAGTCAGCAGACAAGCATTTATTAAGTCCCTAGTATATGCCAGGCACTCTGCTAAGGGCTGAGGATACAAAGAAAGGCAAAAGACAGAATCTGCCCTCAAGGAGCTTACAATCAAGCCCTTTACAAAAAGTTTGGCTTAACGAATAGAGTACTTGAGTCGGAAATGGGACCCCAGGATTCTAGTCCTATTTACTTAATTAGGAGAACAACCAAAACAGTGCTGACTCTGGAGTCCAAGAACCTGGGTTCAAATCCTGCCTTTTGGGCTTACTATCTGTGTGACTCTGGGCAATTTCATCTCCCTGGGCCTCAGTTTCCTCATCTAAAATGAGTGGTTTGGACAAAATGGCCCCAGCTCCTTTTCATCTCAAGTCCTGTGATCCTTCCTCTATAATCACTCCTCTGGGCATCGGTTTCCTCAGTAGTAAAATGAGATAATTGGATGATCTCTGGGATCCTTTCCAGTTCTAAAAGCTGTACCCATGAAAACAACTATTGGATGATCCTTAGAAACCTCAGTCCACCTTGGCTCTCAGGGAATTGGTGAAAAAAGTTCCCTGAGCTCTATTCAGAGGAGTCTCTGAAGTAGCCTCCGTGATCCTTTAGCTACACTTAGACATAACCTAGGGATATGTGGGTCTTCAGCATATATCTATTAAATCAGCCTACCATATTTCCTAGAGAGAAAAGATATTTAAAATAAACCTTTTTTTAAAAAGACTCAAATAAGCCCAGAGGATGATGCTACCTGGCTTAATTCATATGACTGAAATAGAAGGAGCTTCAAAATGAGTATGATCCGAGAAGCCACAATTAATCTGGAGTCTGACTGTCCAAAAGCATTGCTGACCATAAGAATAACGTGCTCATGTTTGCTGCTCTTTCAGCTTGGGGTTATGTAACTATTACTAGTTGCATGCTTCTTGAAGTTCAACAAACATCAAACTAGGGCTTCTCTGTGCAAGACACTAACTGTGTGTGAGGAAGAAAAAGAAATGAAAAATGACAATATTGAACTTAAAGAATGAGGGGAGAGCTGAGCTGAACCTTACACAAATCACTTCAACACAAAGGAGACCCAGGCCAAAAGGAGAAGGAGCAGGTCCTGAAGAGAGAGAAAGACAGTCATGGGAGAAGAATGGATGCTAATGGAAAACAAATGAGGTAGGGGCCCATCCCCCCCCATGCCACAGGCAACCACGTGACTCGGATATTCGATGACCCAAGGCCTTCAAGCCACTCAGGACTCAAAGCTCTATAGAATCTGAGACAAAGAGCAGATGAGCTCTAATAGGAGACTGCCCCATCAGGGTGAGGCAAAGCAGTGGGATAGTAAGGACCTTGGAAATCAGGGTGTTTTCTGAGATAATGAATCCGGAACGAGGAAGAGAGACCCAGGAAACTTAACTATGTGTCACAGCAAGCTGAGCACCCGGGGAAGGGAGCAATGTATGGTCTCAGGGAAGTTAAGCCTTAGTATACATACATCTTGAAAACTGGGGTATTACTAGTAAAACCGGTTTACATTGACTTGGAGCAGAGATACTGGCAAAATTCTCTAATAAAATTTGAGGGAAGACCAAAAAAAAGGAGCGATGTTTTGTGCGGCTAAGGAGTGTCAGGGAAGGTGTCATGGAAGAGGTGGCCTCTGAGCTGGACCTTGAAAGGCTTCTAAGGCAGAGATGAGGAAGGAGTCCATCACCCTTGTCAGCCCCCAAGCATGGCCACTGACTAGCTCAAATATTCAGATTCAGCAGAGTAGCAGACAAGACTAGAGAAGTTACCAGCTCATTTTGATTAGAACAGCATTTGTGAATGCAAGTAGCATAAAAGAAGGCTGGAAATGTGGGTTAGGGACAGATTGTGGAGAACCAGGCTAGGAAACATGGACTTTATCTTATTGGGCAATAAGATAACCAATGACATTTTTTGAATAAAAGCATACTCCATTGGGACAGACACATTTTCTACAAAGAGGAGACACTGGAGGCAGGGAGACCAGTTAAAAGGCTTTTACAATAATTTGGGGGGAGAAGTGACAAGAATCTGGATGTCGGTGATGGCAACCTGAGTGAGAAGGAGAGAAGGGAAGCAGGATCAAGAGGAATTGGTTGAAACAAGGGAATTTGTTTTGCTTGAATTGCTTTCTCAGTGGAGGAAGGGGACAGGAAAAGGATGCTCACTTGAAAATAAAATAAAATTGAATTAAAAAACAAAACAATCAGAAAAAGAATCAATAGCACTTAGTAACTTATTAGATGGAGGGGAGGGGAAAGGGAGAACAAGAGTCAGAGGTGACCAGAGGCGTGCTGGTAAATATTTAACAACCAGCTCCTTGAAAACCAAGACCTACTTTTAAGATTAATCTGAACCATTAACATTTTTTTTCCATCACTTTCTCAAATGTAAACCAGAGGAATCCACTTTATTTACAAACCATTCTTAGCTCCTCCATGAGTACAAAAACCAGGGGCAGCAGGATTTGGCCACAGGGCCATAGTTTGATTGACCCCTGGTCTGGACAATCAACAAAACAATAAACGAAGCCCTCATTTGTATCTTTGGCCTTTTCCAAAGTTTTAATGTTGACACTAAAAATGTAATACTCTATTCTAGTTGGTCCCAGCCAACCCTGGCTCAGGTAACCCCAAATGGACTAGAAGAATGGAGAGAGATAAAGAGATAAGAGTCATGATGAGGACAGCAAGCAGACTCTGGGGAATGAGACAAGTGGGCAGCAGATAGAAGGAGAGAAGACTGTGAATTCTACCTAGCACAAATGAGTTGTGCAAATTCAAGTAGGTGGAAAATGAGATTAATCCTAAGGGAAATTAATTATAATTTAAAATGGAAACAGAGCAAATTCCTAATTGGAAGAAATTTCTTAATGTGAAATAAAAAATTATCACCTCCTTACACAGAATTTGAAAATGCGCCTTATTTTACAAAAAGGGACTCCTCCAGGGAGTTACTGCCCAGGGCTCTGCTGTCCTAGCCCTCATGACATCAGTTCACTTACTTCCTTTGGAGTCGGACAACTGGGTCAGCCAGGAGGTCGGTGAGATCTAGCCTCCTCCCTTTCTCGATGACGTCGCGGTGTTTCCGAACAAATAACCACCCAATATGGGAAAAGAAAAAGCCCCGCTGGGCATTGTGGGGGTCAGCATCCGTCTCTGAGTATTTGTGATGTACTCGATGATCCCGCGACCACTCAAAGATGTCATTCTGCAGAGGGAGAGAGGGCACATTGAAGAAAGAGAGAGAAATCCCCAGGTCTCCTTCTCCCACGTTCTTTGCTTCATCCTCGATCTCATTCTCCTTATTTCCCCTCATTCCCTACCACTCACCCCAGCCTTAGCGTATTTTTGTGAGTTTTCATGGAAACCCGGAGCCATAACTAGCAGTCTTTTCAGCTGAGGCAAGGGCAAGGGACATACTCACCTGAGGGAGGGGCAGGATGTGTGAGCCAACTCTAACCAGCAGGAAAGAATCAAAGTTAAATTTTCAATGAGAGCATTTACATCTCCGAAATCAGCAAACATAAACCAAAGCTTAATTTTTTAGCTGTTGGTTTTCTAGACTTGAGAAAATGTTGATAATGTAGATTAAATTTAAAAGTGTGTTATGCATACTGTTTTTTTTTTTAAGAGAAGATTGTTAAAACCTCTGGGTGCGGTTGAGGAGCAACATGCAGAAAACCTGGGAAACCCTGCGGTTCTGCCCTTCTGAAAGTGTGTCCCCTAATGGGAAGGGTGGTGCCCCTTGCGAGGGAGCAAGCTGGGTAGAGAAAGCAGACAACCACGCTGTCATGGGCAGGATCATCAAGGGAGGAAGCCCCTCTTCCTCTGAGGAAAGCTGCTGTCTGTGCCTTCTACATGGTCCACCCTGGTATAAAGCTACAGTCGCTTCACCTTAATTCCACCTAGAACTTTTAGGAAAGGTAAGTTGGATTAAGAACCAGTGGATTTTATAAGAGAAAAGGTAGACATAGTTAACAAGGAAAATAATAATAGCAATAATCTCTTACATCATAATTAATACCTAGTATTTAATTAATACCAGGCTAGAAGCACCACAGCGGCTCAGGGGCCCTATCCCAATGGCTTTAACCAGCTCCATTTTTCTGCTGTGGGCTTGTTCACCCCACCTTAGGCAGTTTAGTGGCTCTCTGCTCCTGGGAGGTCACCAAGCTGGCTCCCAACTAAGCAAATGGCTTTCACTGCAGCTCAGAACTCCCACACTCAAGACATCCACCTCTCCAACAGTGGTGAATGAAGGCATGAGACACCACCCCTTGCCTGGAACTTTCTCAATAATTTTCTCATAGAAACTTGTCATTATCCAATATCTATTGGTTTGATTCTACTATTGAAAAAGAAGTAAACTGCTCATTTATAAGGCATCTTTCATACCTCTGATCAAAATTGATCAATAAACATTTACCGAACACCTACTGTATTCCAGGCACTATACTTGGGGCTAAAGATAGCCCCAGAAAGGGAAGGGGATCTTGGATTCTGTACAGATAAACAGCACGTATATGTAAACTATGCACAAAAGAGATACATTAGTGCAAGTTGGGTGGATTGTTGTCCTTTGTACTCGAAGAGGACCAAAACAACATCACTATATTGGAGTCAATGCACAGTGTGTCCAACTGTGACCGATCAGACCAATACAAGCTCAGAAGGCTCTACCACAGGTTGGGCATAAATAGTCCATATAAATATTTGGAGTGGAGATGGCTTAAATTTGCACATCTCACATTTCTTTTGAGCTACTGCTTCTGCTTTGTTCATAGAGCAGAGCATCTTCTTTAAGGGGGGGCACTCCACGCTAGGTGGTTTTTTTGCCAGTGTCTCCCATGTCTCACAATTGATGACAAAGTTCTTCAGAAAGACCTTGAGAATGTCCTTATATTGCTTCTTCTGACCTCTGTGTGAGCACTTGCCTTGTGTGAGTTCTCCATAAAATAGTCTTTTAGGCAAACATACATTTGGCATTTGAACGACATGACCAGCCCATCAGAGTTGCGCTCTCGCAATAGAGTGTGAATGCTTGTCAGTTCAGCTCCTGAAAGGACCTCAGTGTCTGGTACCTCATCTTGCCAGGTGATCTTCAGAATCATCCTAAGACAATTCAAATGGAAGTGATTCAGTTTCCTGGCATGGTGCTGGTAGATTGTTCAGGTTTCACAGGCATATGCGGTCAGCACAACGGTTCTGTAGACCTTCAGTCTGGTAGGCAGCTTAAAACCTCTTTTCTCCCACACTTTCTTTTGAGCCTCTCAAACACTGAGCTAGTTCTGGCAATGCATAAGCCAATCTTGTCATACATCTCTGGAACGTATACTGCCAACATAAGTAAACCTATTCACAGCGTTCAAGATTTATCCATTGGCTGTAACCTATGTTTCCAAGTATGGATGATGTGGTGCTAGTTGATGGAGAATCTATTTTCTTGGTGTTAATCATCAGGCCAAAATTAGCACAAATGGCACAGAATCAATCCAAATTCTGTTGCAATTCAGCCTCAGAGGCTGCACTGAGTGCACAATCATCTGCAAACAAAAAGTTGTGCACCAACTATGCTTCCACTTTAGTCTTGGCTTGTAGCCTTTTCAAGTTAAATAATTTACCATTAGTCTGGTAGCTGACCTTGATGCTGTCATCCTTGTTGAAGGCATCCACCATCTCTGAAAACCTCATGCTAAGAAGCATGGGAGCAAGCATGCAGCCCTGTTTTATTTCACTGTTGACTGGGAAAGTTCAAGAGCATTGTCCATTATCCAGAACCAGTGCAAACATGCTGTCATGGAAGCTGTTTATTCTTTTCAGTTGTGACTCCATCTGGGGTTTTCCTGACAAAGGTATAGGAGTGGCTTGCCATTTCCTTCTTCAGTTTATTTTTCAGATGAAGAAACTGAGGCAAACAGGGTTAAGTGACTTGTCCAAGGGCATACAGCTGGTAAGTGTCTGAGGCCAGATTTGAACTCATGAAGATGAGTCTTCCTGATTCCAGGTCCAGGTCCTCTGTCCACTGCGCCACCTAGCTGACCATGCCATCATGGAACTGATATACAATACTGGTGAACTTCTCTGGGCAACCAAATTTGGCTATAATCTTCCACAAGCCCTCATGGCTGACCTTGGTCACGTCAATGAAAATTGTATACAGACTTCTGTTCTGCTTCATTTCTCCTGGAGTTGTCAGACAGCAAACATCATATTGACCATTCCCTAGCCCTTTCTGAAACTATACTGCCTCTCAGGTAGATGACCATGTTCCAGGTGAAAGATCAGCCAGTTAAGGAGGACTCTGCAATGACTTAAGAGAAAGACCCCTCGGTGATTGCTAATGGACAGCCTACTTTGGCAGAGGTGGCATTATCAGCTAGAGTGAGGGAGACCAAGGACTTCTCATAAAGAAGAGCTGAGCTTTAAAGGAAATCAGGAATTCTAAGAAGTAGAAATGAGGAAGGAATATGTTCTAGGCATGGAATGGAGAGAGAGACTGTTCCTTTGCCTGTGAAAGGCAGGGAGATGAAGTGTGTCATGTGAGGAACAAGAAGAAGGATGGCATTGCTAGATCATTTGTAGAGTGCATGAAGGGGGATAAAATATAAGAAGCCTGAAAAGGTAGAAAGGGGCAAGGTTGGTAAGACCAGCTTCTTTTCTACCTTTGTACATTTTGCTGTTTTTACTTCAATTAGGAAAAGAGGGATGCAAATGTTTCTAGTCCTCTGAGGTGCTCCATGTAGAAGGTCTATAGAAGGGCAGCTGAGATGGTGATGAAAGGCTCATCATTTAGCAGACAGGGAAACTGAGACTGAGAAAGATTAAGTGATTCACCTGGGATCATAAATGTCTGAGGCCAGATTTGCACTTGAGTCTTTCTGACTCCAAGCCAACTAGGAAAAAAGGCAACAGAAAATAGAAATGAACTTCCAATAAGCTACAGAAGTCTGTGATGAGTTTCACAGCCAGGATTACGTCTTTCTCTCACCATCTACTTGCTTCCCAATCACTCTGAAGCGAGTTGCCAAAGAAATGTGTTAGGGCCTTGGGTCCCCCATCTTGATGGCTGTCGTCTGGAAAATCAGTGGAGAAGGAGCTTCTGACTGTCATTCTCTTAAAGACTGCCACAGCCATGGTTTCTAGTCCATTCCTACCATACATTGCTTTTTTCTCCTCTTGCTCTCCTACCCTCACACTAATCTATTTATGCCTCAGTGGTACCTGCCTCACTGTATCCCTTCTGGTGGTGCCCAAATCTTGGATGAAAATCTTCCTCAGACCATGACTATCTTTTGCCTCTTTTTGTATCCCCAGTGCTTAGCACAGTGCCTGACACATAGTAGGCACTTAATAAAGCCTTATGGATTCTCAGAACACTTCCAAACAATCCAGCCCCAGGATTTCCTATTGTCTTTGGAAGGTAAGTCTAGCTAGCCCAAGACCTCTTTGATCCTCAGCAAAATCTCTCAGTTTCTGTGGGAGTTTTGATAAGGTAGAATTTCAAGAGTACAAATTATTATACTTAGTATAATGGTATGGTACAAATAGTATGAATATTATGCTATAATAGGAACATATTATATTAATATAACAATATGAATGTTATACACAGAATATGAATATGATACTATTCATTAAAATATGACTAAATAGTATGAGTATTATACATATAATAGGAATATTATGTTATTCATTATAGTATGAATAAAAAGTATAAATATAATATATGCCATTTATAAATGGGAAGGTAGGAGAGGTAGGATCTTCAAAATTAGCCAGAAAAAAAAAATTAGTAGTCCCAAAGCCTAAAAGAAACCGGAGAATTTAGGGCAGGTCAAATTTTTTCATTAAAATGGAAAATATGGCTCATAACCTGGGAAATGTCTTTCTGGCTTTAATTGATAATTATCACACCAGTATTGTGTCCAGAGGCTAAGAAAGAGCTGGGGACAAGATTGCAGGCTTATTACATTGAAAAAAACTATCTGTAAAGCTGGTTTATGGTCACCACAAAGGCATATTCAGTTTTACTTGAAGGTCAGGGCTCAGTTTGCCAAGAGTCAACTTAGGAGGTTCCTCTTCTGTTTTGCCATAAACAGAGCTAGGATGGGGTGAATAGGGTTTTGCCTCAAGTTGTAGACATGGAAAGAGCCCCCTGCCCATTGCTATATGTCAAAACTCCATTCCATTGACCAGACCCAGAATGTGACCCTAAGACGTTGTCACGCTGGCATCCTCCAAGGACCTACCTTTTCATTCTAGTGCACCCCTTGAGGGATGGAGCCTAAATTCACTGGGGGATGATTCTCCCCCTCCATTCATGGTACAAATGTACTGACGGTCAAATTTTTCTCTTCTCTAGTGCCACCACAGCTAACTTTAACCTACTCACAAATGTTTTTGCCAAGGATGAAAGAATTCCTATGCATGATTTTGACCTTGATCAGGAAGGTCTAGTGAGGTAATAGCACTATTTTACCTCTGGATCTAAGATATTGGGGCAGTTTTCCTTTATAATTTCTTGAAATACAATGCCTAGACTCTTTTTTTTATCATGGATTTCAAATAGTCCAATAAATCTTAAATTACCTCTCCTCCATCTGTTTTCCAGTTGTTTTTCCAATGAGACATTTCACATTTTCTTCTATGTTCATTCTTTTGCCTTTTTATTGTTTCTTAAAGTCTCATGGAGTCATTAGCTTCTACTTGCCTAATTTTAATTTTTAAGGAATTATTTTTTTTCATGAGCTTTTTACCTCTTTTTCTATTTGGCCAATTCTGTTTTTTTAAGGTGTTATTTTCTTCAGTATTTTTTTGTTCCTCTTTTACCAAGCTGTGAATTCTCTTTTCATAATTTTCTTGCATCACTGTAATTTCTTTTCCCAGTTTTTCCCAGTATAACTCTTTCTTATACTCTTCCAGGAATTCTTGTCAGGTTTGGGTCTTAAAAATTAGTATTTTTCTTTGAGATTTTGGTGGTACCTCTTTTCATGTTGTTGTCTTCGTCTAAGTTGATGTCTTGGTTTTCCTTGCCACCACAGTGGCTTTTTGTGGTCAGGTTCTTTTTTTTTTTTAACTGTTGTTGTTTGCTCATTTTTCCAGCCTATTCCTTGACTTTTAACTTCAAATTAAAGTTGGGCTCTGCTTACCATGGAGTAAGGAGGCACTTTGCCAAGCTTCAGCCTTTTTCATGCTGCTGTTTTCATGCCTAGTTCTGGGTGTCTGCAAGTTTATTAAGAGAGTTCAGCTGGGTCCCCACTTATACTCTGCTATCTTGTCTTTACCTTTCAACATGTGGTTTTATCCTTATTGGTTTTCCAATAACTTGCCTAGGAATGGATGACTGCCTCAGAAAAGACATTGCAGTGTCCAAAAATTTTTCTGTCCCTTAAATTGTCTTTTAAGGGCACCTGAATTTCCAAAAGGGAAAGCCTGCCAGGTGGCCTTGGGACAAAGCTGATGGGAATCTTCTTTGTACTCTTGATACCTTTCTTTCTAGCCAATGGAAAGACAGAAACTTGCCCCAGCATGTCCTCTTGAGGGCACAGGTTTTAATGATAGGGTTTCATATATACATGCTATGAGTCAATGGTATCCTGTCTAGGAAAGGAGCTCCTACCCAATAGATCACAAAACAGACCACGTTGCTGGCTCAATTATTTCTAACTGCCTGCTTCACTTAGAACATGTTTTATTTCGGTCCCAGACGCCTGTCCTAATCTTCTCCAGTTCATATGCCAATATTTTACCAATCACAAGAACATTCTGTGTTTTATTCAATTGTTTATTTTGGTTTCGCCCTGATTTCCCTCCAGATAACACCTGGCACTGACAATCTGTAAGAATGGCCCAGAAAGTCCCCAAACAAGGGCCTGACAGCATTTTAAGCCTTTTGGAAAACTCTACCCTCAAGAGAACAAGTAACTACTTGTTGCCTAATATCAGTAGAGTGTTGATGATACAGTTTATGTGGTTCATGGTTACCATGAGGGCATATTCAGTTTTATTTGAGATCTTCCAGTCATCTTCGAATGGAAGATTGTTAAGCACAAGTGTTTTGGGCAGTGTTGGTTAAGAAAATTTAAGATGCCCAAGTCAGAGATTTCTCATTGGTAGGCAAGTCAATATTCTGAGAATGCCCTGGTTCTGACAAGGGTCAGATTGACAAAATATCAGATTCTCAGGCTATTAGGACAGTGGACAGAATTTCTAAGTATGTTCTTATGGCACCCTCCTCAACTAGGGAAATATCAATAAAAGTCCAGGTCATTACATGAGCAAATAGAAAATTGCTGGATTGCTCTCTGGGGTAGCTCAAGTCAGATATTGATATTATATATTACAGTATAAGCCCTGATCAACCAATGCCCCCACTGAAGTATATGTTTGAAGAAGCTATCTGATCTTGGTGTTGGAATTGGAGTCAGGAAAACCTGAATTCAAATCCTGCTTTAACCACTCTTTTTATCATCCTGGGCAAGTCAATTAACCTCTTTCAGCCTCAGTTTCTTCATCTATAAAATGGGAATAATAAACACACCAACCTCATTGGGTTACTCTGAGGATTCAATGAGATAATTTATATAAGATGCTTTGCAAATCTTAAATTATATAAATATTATGCAGATATATTAATGTTATTAATTATTAATCAAAACAATTAACATAATGTAATAATGGCATGTTATAAATTTAACATAGAACTATTACATAAATATCAAAGTATAATAATATAAATATTATTATGCCATATTGATGATGATGGTGCATTTATCAGGAATCTTATTTTAATAGTTTCTTTGAGCTCACCTTTAAAATCATAAAAGATAAGGCAATGATAAAAAGAAAAAGTTCCAGAATGGCTGAGATGCCAGATTTCTCTAAGGAATGAGGCGAGATTACATGTAGGAAGCAACTGTTAAGATGATCATTCACATAAAACTGGAGAGGGATTTGAGAAATTTTCAGCAGAATGAAGCTGGTCAGCAACCCTCTGCTGCCGCAATTTTCCCTATTCCGTTGCCTTTCCCAATCCCCTTAATACTAGTAATTCCCTCTATTGGTTACCCCTAATTTATCCCATCTATAGCTTGTTTGTACAGTTTGCACATTGTCTCCTCCATTAGACTATAAGCTCCTTGAGGACAGGGACTTTTGCCTTTCTTTGTATCCTGGTACTTAGCACAGTGCCCAGCACATAGTAGGTGCTTAATAAATGTTTATTGACTGACTCACTAGTTACTTGGACTGGAAGCTTTGGAATGATTTTTTTTTTCCTTTTCCCTCTCCTCCATCCCCTGACATGCAACAAGCCATCAAGTCCTAGAGATTTTTTCCTTCAAAATCTTTTTCAGATTTGCTTCTTCCCCTAAGTCCCTGTTGTGTGACAGGCGCTAGAGATGCATAGACAAAAGCAAAATAATTCCTACCGTTAGGTAACTTGAACCCTACCAGGCATATGACATATGCACAAATAAGTATAGTAGGAAGAAAACTGAGGGAAGCATCACACTGACAACTGGAGAAAGCTTCATGAAAATAATAATAACAACTAACATTTATATATCGCCTACTATGTGCTAGGAACTGTGCTAAGAACTTTACACATATTATCTCATTTGATTCTCGCAACAACTCTTGGAAGCAAGTGCTGTTATTATCCCCATTTTACATATGGGGAAACTGAGCCAGACAGAGGTGAAGCAACTTGCCCAGGATCACACAGGTAGTAAATGTCTGAGGCCAAATTTGAATCCAGGTCTTCTCCTGACTACACACCTCTGTGCCACCCAGCTGCCTTTAGATAGCCTGAAAGAAAATAAAGATTCTGAGAGATGGAGTGTATTCCAGGTATAGGGGAGGGCTTCGCTCAAATCACAAAGGCAAGAGATGGATTATTGAGGGCAAGGAATGGCTAGTCTGGACTATGGCGTCTCTGGAGGGAATAAGGCTGGAAATGTAAGTGGGAGCCAAATTGTGGAGGACCTTAAAAGTTAGGCTAAAGATTTTTTTAGCCTGTGGGCGATTGGGAGCCATTGAAGGTTTGTGAGCAATAGAGTGACACGGGTGGAACTGTGCTTTGGGAAATTTATTTTATCAACTGAGGCAAGGATGGCTTAGAGAAGGGTGATACTGGAAGCAAGGAGACAAGTGAGGTAAAGAAGGACATGTCTAGAACATGGTGACTTATCACATATAAAGGAATGGAGGTTAGGGAGAAGTTTGAGTAACTAGTCAGTCAATAAACATTTATTAAGCACCTACGATGAGCCAGACACTATGTTAAGCACTGGAGATACACAAAAGACAAAAGACAATCAGTCCTTGCCTTTAAGGAACTCACAGTCTAATGGGAGAGACAGCATGCAAGCAATTGTGCATGTACAAATAAGTCATGGTGAGGCTATGTTGTGAAGGCAGAATCCACAAAACTTGGCAACTTGTTGTATGAGAGTAGGGGAGGGGGCAGGGAGTGCAACAGTCCAATCCCCACCTGGAAAGCCATGGAGTTGGCAGCGGCCAAGAAAATCCTTAAAGGCAGCTTGGCTTTGTAGGATCTGTGGCTCCACAGACGATGCGCACCAGCCGTCACCCCCAGAGCTGTCAGGAGGAAACAGAGGTATGCTGCAAAACACAACAAAGGGGAAATACTCATAAATCATGAAGAATGTTTTAAAATTTCCTTTTTTTCAAATCCACTGAGAAAGGATTCATGCAATTGTCCAGGAGAAAAGAGGATACTCTCTTTTGATGAAGGATCAATAACTGGAGAAACCGTAGCCTTCTATTGATTTGCGGCTTTCTAAAACCTGTACTGGGGGGACAGAAAGAACTTTCTCTGGGAAACTCTGACCTTCATACTCCAAACGTCTTCTCATGCTTTTCTTTCTCCCCAGTTGAGGCTATAACAGTCATGTTCAACTTAGCATGAGTTTAAGACACAGTCATAAAAATCAGTTCCCTTTGGATCCTCTCCTGCCTTTTAACACTCATAAATAGGTGTTTTTCAGACAGCATATGTCAGAATAGCAAAGCAAACTAGGTTGCTTAGCTTGCAAAAAAAAATAAAATTGGCTTTAAACAGTCAGACTCTATCTATGAGTAAATCCGAACAGCAATAGAAATGACAACAATCCTGATATTCACAGGCTATAGATGCTCTATGCTTTGACCTACATTACCAATGAGCATTTGAAAGCAAGGATAAGTGAGACCTTGGCTGGGCTAGACAAAGGTTTGGCCTGTCAAGTAGAGTAGGGATTCCCACAGGTTGGGTATGGGGATGGAGACCATAGGTGCAAAATGATTACTCCTGTAACATGAACAGGGATTCCCTGACCTGTAATGAAGCACCTTCAAGTGTTTCTAAAGGTGAACCAGCTTTTCAACAATTGGCTCAGATCCCTGCATCCAGCCACAAGGCTCTCTGACGGGTGGTTTTATCTTTGCTTTGTCTGTTCAAATTATCCTATTGGTGCTCATTGAACTGACTCGGGTTGCCAATGTGAATGAGACAATAGAGAAGAGCCTGGGCAGGAAACTTCATTGTGACCAGAGGACTTCATATCTAGCTGGTGGATCCAGTCAACACAAGAAGGTCCATCTCTATATCCTATCCACCCACCCTCCACAACACCACTTTGGGTAGTATAAGTTATCTTCACCTCCATGTTCCTCATTTCTGAAAGCTTCCAACACTATACCCACAAAACACATTTTTGGGGGGTGGGGGTGGGGTGGGGATAGAAGATGAATATGGAATTAGGTAGTCTCTGTTTCTGGCTCCCACCCCCACGTGGTCAGCTCTATTGTTTCCCAGCTCTTCCCTCTTGCCTCTCTTTGAGTATAATCTTTTCTGTTTGGCTTCACTCATTGGGGGAAGGTTTTCCTTTCAAACTTCGCTTTGAACAACACTGGAAAAAGGAGGGACCTGAGGCAGATGCTTCAGATAGGCTAAACTAACTTACAAATTGCAGAAACTGCTGACTCATATCATATCTAAGATACTCCAGATCTGCTTTTGGGAACTATTATGAATCAATAATTCTCTTTTTTTAAGCTAGGAAGGTACCAGTAATTAGAACAAGAATCCTCTCTCTCTCTCTCTCTCTCTCTCTCTCTCTCTCTCTCTCTCTCTCTGTCCTCTTGCATTTGAATTATGAAATAAATACATCAAAAATGTAACAAGATCTACAAACATCTGGAATGTCATTTATCCCAGAATACCTTTGCTATCCTTATTTTGTTTATTTACCATCCTTATTTTGTTGACTTCCAAATATCGCAGAGCCTGCTTGGGTCTATGCTTACTGGCATAACTCCTATTTCTGGTCCATCCTCGAGTTCATCTAATGTTGTAGCAACAGACCAGGGTACCTAGAGGGAGTCCAATGGTGTTATAATGGCCTGGATTGTGGGAAACTCCAAACTCTTTAGAGATGCCTGAACCTAATGTGAGGCCCTACTATTTTTCTTTTTTCTTTTCTTTTCTTTCTTTTTTTTTTTTTTTGCTTTTTGGTAAGCAATTGGGCTTAAGTGACTTGCCCAGGGTCACACAGCTAGGCCCTACTATTTTTCTAGCACAATTATAGACTTCGATTTTCCCATCTGTAATGTAATATGGATCACAGCATTTGTCCTTATTGTATTATTGTATTGGAGATAAATAAATGAAACAAGTAATTTGAATGAAATTGTAGTGAAAATGAAGAGTACCAGAGCCTGGGTTTATGGTTTCCTTGAGGCAGTATGACAGAGTGTTGGAGTACTCATCTGTGAGTACCTTCCCACAGACAGTTGTGATCATTGATTCCAACAACAACCAGGCACAACTACAGGGACATTTGTACTAACACTAGTGTGGCTGAGAGAGGTTGCTCAGGCTGTCTACACAAGCTACAGGGTGGGAACATAGCCCAGAAGCAATACATTCTTAGCTTCCAAGTCATCCAAGGACACTAAATTTGTTGGCAATGGTTCTCATAGCATCTGTGCCAGTGTCCAAACTCAGCAGTTTTCATATTATGATCACAATTGTACAAGTCTCCTGCTCAAATTGCTGGTCAATGGTGATGAGCAATGAATCTAGGAAGGGACACGATGAAGTCATTTCCTCCTGCTCCTCTTTTATATCAAAGTAATTCTGGGACTCATGCATCATCAGTGTGAATGAATTTTCCCCTCAGAAATGGGTTTTCCTTGAGGCAAAGAGTGTATTGATCAGGATAATTCCTTACAGCCATATTCACACTTCCATTGAAAATAGATTGAGGCAACTTCTGGTTAAGATGGCAGCATGAAAGATCATACAGGAGCCCAATTCTCCCACACATACTTCAGCAATTATTTAAAAAGGGCACTGGATTGAATAATTATTAAGAAACATCTGCAAATTCTTCCATCAAGCCTGTACTACACAAGAAGACAGCTGGAAACCAAGGACTCTAAGAGAGGTGCCTTTAGGGAAGTCTACAAAAGAACAGAAAAACAAGCCAGGAGTCCATAGAAGCTCTCTGACTAGGGATACCTGGGAGGAAGGGGGGAAGATCGCAGAATGTCCTGACCTGGAATGTCCCTAAGAGACCAAGTGACCCCAGCCCTCTAACTAGGCATGCTAAAGCTTTCCCATGCTCTGAGGAGACACATGGGGTCAAGAGTCCAGGAAATTGAGATCAAGACCAAATAGGACCTGACCAACCTTTTCAAGAGCATCGAACCTAGGCTTGCCAAAAAGTACCAAATTAGGAGCTGAGGCCAGATATGACAATAGAAGGTAGTAATCACTACACAGAAATACTAAGGGCCAATTTGTTGCCACCACAAGAAAAGCTGCTATAAATATTTTTATACATATATTTCTTTGATCTCTTTGAGTTGCAAATCTAGTAGTGGTATTGCTGGGTAAAAGGGTATGCACAGTTCTAAAGCCTTTGGACATCGTTTCAAATTGTTCTCAAGAACGATTGAACCAGTTCACTACTCCACCAACAGTTCATTAGTGTACCTATTTTTCCTTTTTCTCCTCCAGCATCTGTCATTTATGATAGGAGTGAGGTGGTACCTCAGTGTTTTAATTTGCCTTTCTTTAATCAATAGTGATTTAAAGCATTTCTTTTTTTCCTCAATTTTATTAATTTATTGATTTATCAACAATCACTTCCATATGCTTTTGAGTTGAAAATTTTTCTTCCCCTTCCTCCCCCCAACCCTCCCCAAGACGGCACACAATCTGATATAGGCTTTACATTTACATTCCTATTAAACATATTTTCACATTAGTGAAGTTGTAAGTAAAAATTAAAACCAATAGGAGGAACCATCAGAAAGATAAAACAAAACTCAACAGAAGGTAAAAATAAGTGATAGCGATTCAACTTCCATCGTTCTTTCTTTGGATGTGGACAGCATTTTCCATCCCGAGGCCTCTGGAGATGTCTTAGATCCTTGTAATGCTGAGAAGGGTTCAGTTTAACAATTTAGTCATTGCATAATGGCTGTTATTGTGTACAAAGTCCTCTTGGTTCTGCTCACTTCACTCAGCATCAGACCATATAAGTCTTTCCAGGTTTTTCTGAAGTCAGCTTGTTCATCATTTCTTATAGCACAATAGTATTCCATTACATTCATATACCACAACTTGCTCAGCCATTCCCCAATTGATGGGCATCCTCTCAATTTCCAATTCTTTGCCACCACAAAAAGAGCTGCTATAAATATTTTTGTACATGTGGGTCCTTTTCCCATTTGTTTGATCTCTTTGGGATATAGCCCTAGAAGTGCTATTGCTGGATCAAAGGGTATGCACATTTTTGTAGCCCTTTGGGCATAGTTCCAAATTGTTCTCCAAAATGGTTGGATCATTTCACAACTCCACCAACAATGTATTAGTGTTCCAATTTTCCCACATCTTCTCCAACATTTATCATTTTCCTGTTTTGTCATGTTGGCCAATCTGATAGGTGTGATGTGGTACCTCAGAGTTGTTTTGATTTGCATTTCTCTAATCAATAATGATTTAGAGCATTTTTTCATATGACTATAGATGGCTTTAATTTCTTCATCTGAGAACTGTCTGTTCATATCCTTTGACCATTTATCAATTGGGGAATGGCTTGTGTTCTTATAAATTTGTCTTAATTCTCTATATATTTTAGAAATGAGGCCTTTATCAGAGAGACTGGTTGTAAAAATTCTTTCCCAATTTTCTACCTTCCTTCTAATCTTAGTTGCATTGGCTTTGTTTGTGCAAAAACTTTTCAATTTAATGTAATCAAAATTATCCATTTTGCTTTTCATAATGTTCTCTATCTCCTGTTTGGTCATGAATTCTTCTGTTCTCCATAGATCTGATAGGTAAACTATTCCTTGTTCTCCCAGTTTACTTATGGTATCAGCCTTTATATCTAAGTCATGAACCCATTTTGACTTTATTTTGGTATATGGTGTGAGATTTGGGTCTATGCCTAGTTTCTGCCATACTCTTTTCCAGTTTTCCCAGCAGTTTTTTTCAAAGAGTGGGTTCTTATCCCAGAAGCTGGGGTCTTTGGGTTTATCAAATAATAGATTACTATAGTCATTGACTACTGTGTCTTGCATATTTAACCTATTCCACTGATCCACCTCCC